GAAGGAAAGCATGCTTCATTCAACGCCTTCGCAATGTCTTTTCAAATTAACGTGTAAAGTAGGTGTTCGCGCGAACCTGCAAAATCTAATTATAACATCAACGCGTCGCTGTATTGTAGAATTTTCTTCAGTCTGCCTCGAACCAATTACACGTAGAATGATGGAAAGGCATGATGTATAAAAGGATGATCGTGTTATATCTTTGTTATATCTTTTCGCGATACGTTTATTTCGTGTAAGTTTTATTATTATTATTAATTTATTTAAAGGAAAATGTAAAAGAGTATTTCCAAGTGCAGCATACAATTACAAGTCCGTAAACAAAAAACAAAGTATAAATACGAAAAACAAATATATGTATATCTTCATATTTTACACTGTGTTTTCGTATACAGGGTGAGTTATACTTCTTTTAAAGGATGCATCTAATTAAAAAATGATAAATATAAAAGTTGTAAATTCTTTTTGGAAGAGAGGGGGTGATGATGTATTTACTCTTTTTCTAATAATGTAGTCTTCGAAATTTCAATGTCAACTTCCTTTTTTAAAATGGAAAACTATATTTTTCTCATCGCAGATCAAAGGAATATTTACTTTTAAGTAGAAACGTATGAATCTATGATGACCCTAAAACCTATGGGTTAACGAGACATAGGTCTGTACTTGAGCAAAATATACTTGTCCACCTAAAAAGAGATTTACAAAAAATGTGAATACGTCATTGCCTCCCTCCCCTCTTACAACTCAACGACTTTCAAATTTAACACTTTTTCATTCGATAATTTAAAAATTTTATTTCAATTTATGTTAAAATTTATTTAAAAATTATAATTTAAACTTAAATTATAGACATGTCTGCATTCTTTCGCTATTATGTAATGCTAAGGCCTAGAAAATTTGCTATTACTCTACCAATTTTGATTTATTATACAGGGTGTCCCACGTAACAATTTTTACGATTTTTCAAGTACTTGCAATAATCTGACAAGAAAATGATTTAAACAAAAGTTGATGAGTTTGCGATTAGCTATACACTACAATAACAAATTTTAACAAAACATTTTTTCCGGTAATTGTCAAGGTCGCCTTCATTGTTTTTAAATGGCCCTTTATATTTTGGATTACTCGATTTGGATAACTCGTATCAAGACGAATTCAACGACCTAGTATACCATAACCTTCGGATGATTTTGGAGGTAAACAAAGGAAAATTTCAATAAAAAGTAGCGATCAGCTTGAATGGGTGATAGCAGATTGTGTTTGTTATTAACACTCGAAATTACATTCAATTCAGGAATCCTGAGTCAATTTTGTATTACTAGAAACTTTTATTTGCGAACTACCGACAATCCATAACAAAGAAAAGATGTCAACATATGAGCTCTTATGTTTAATCCTGACGTGCCAAAAGAGCAAATCGTAATTTAATGTTAGCTTGTAGAAAATGTATTCTACAGTAAAACAGTTGATATGCTGCTAATACTTGGCGAATTTAGTCGAAATGCATATGGACAAGCAAATCTGTATAGGGTAGTGATTCCGGTTATTGGAGATTGACCATTTGCTGCGCCTTTGGTTTGTCTTCCGGCATAATTAACTTGCAAAGAGACAACAAATTTTTTTGTTTAAAAATGAACAAAATAAAAGAATAATAAACTTTAATGTTTTATTCGCTAAATATAAAGTTAATTATACTCGAAAAAAACAAAAGCACAGCAATTTGTCATGCCGTAGTAACTGCACTATCCTATTGCAAAGTATCCAGAGAGGCAGCATTCATCTGCACCAACATTTTATAATATTAAAAAAATTTTACAAAATTATGGAGAATTTGAAAAATTTCTGCATTGAATATAATTTCGAATCGTTTTATCCTGCTTTATACTGCTATTTTACAAATAAACAAAATTATAATTAAATTATAATAATTATAATAAATTATAATTATATTATAATAATATAATTAAATTATAATAAATAACTAATTTGCAAATTAGCAATCAATTGTCAGGTAAACTTCACAAACGTTGAAATTTTATGTTTATTATTATTATATTATTAAGATAAATTGCGATTTCGTACTCGTTCTTAGTCGAATCGAAAACAATTAGTAGCTTGTACCACCGATAGTGATAACGAACAGTGCGTGATTAGTGTATTTAGGAAAAATTGCTACACAAGGAGTGGGGTGACGACGCATATGGAGGGTGTTCCGCACAACGGCGCAGCGCGTCTACCGGGTGAGCATTGTAATTCTGAACTACGACGGCGACGCGATGCGACGCGACACAGAGCTGCGCCACGCCGCGGTTTGGGACTCTCGTCGCCTGCCCCCACTTCTTGCGTAGCGACTTTTCCTGAATACACTGCGCATGATACACATGTTATACCAGCGGCCGTTAACGTTAGTTTCTGTCGTGGCACAACTGTTGTGTCAGCGGCTGCGAAAGTGTTAATAATAAACCCAAGTTAATCTCACCCAACAAGCTGATTATCATTTTTTTGTCGAAATTTGTTTTAAATTTTCCTTAATACGAGCTACAATATTATTAAGTCAAGAATATGAAGTGCAACGTAAAGAAAAGATGACCTTGACAATTCTTGAAAAAAAATTGTTTTGAAAAATTCTTTGATTGTACTATATGGAGAATCGAAAACTGATCAACTTTTGTTTGAAACATTTTCTTGTCAGATTACCGCAAGTACTTGAAATATCGTGAAAAGCGTTACGTGGGACACTCTGTATAATACCAAAATTAGTAGAGTAATAGCAAACTTTCTAAAATCTGATCGAAGCATAACAAGCCGTGCGAAGAATGACAGCGAAGAAAAAGACTCTGACAATAACTTAAAACATGTTCTCCGTGATTTTTACATAACAGTGCCGAGCAGAGCGAGAGAGTTCAATATTTATTACGAACGCGTGCTACTGAATTGGATTCGGCGAACGTGACTGTTCATTACTTAGCTTTCCTATTTATAGCGAGTGCGAAAGGCACAGATATAAGACAAATTCTTCCCGGGAACCAAATGCCCCGTGAACGAATTTCACTTTCAATTTACAATGCAGAACTCGCGTCCCATCAACCGAATAATTTTCCGTGTTACAGCTTCCACTTCTCCGTTTTTCCTGAACGCTTTATTCGCTAAGACGCCAGATATAAACTCATTCATCTCGCGAAGTAAGAAGATATTTTTAACGTCTTTGCCATCCGCATTAAACCGTCTACTTGCAATGCAGCACCGAAGCAAATAGATGATAAAAATTGCACGGAAGTGGGTGTGAAATATTTATTATTGGAAAAGTGAAACGTTTCGAATAATAAAAACACTCCAGTAGAATGAATTCATTAAAATAGATATGAAAACTTTCGGTTTCCTACTTTTTTCTATGATCGACACTACATGTACAGTGACTCTGATTAATATTCGGACACCGAATATTAAAAAATATTAGATAGTATTAAATACAATAACCTTTTTAGAATAAACGACTTGACTTTTTTTTAGATTATACAGGGATCAGTCTACTAGACAACAATTAGAATGCTTTTTTAAATAGCTTAGAATGACAAAAGAAAATATAAAACTGTCATTTTTTAACTTTTTCATCTGAGCCTACAACGAAAATTTTAAAAATGCCTTTGTTGATCTCGGTAAATTATACGCATGTTGAAAATTTAAGATTTAAAAAAATTTCAGATTTCTCATACTTATTGATCCAAAGTATCAAAAGTCGGGACAAAACTGCGATTCTCGTGATCTTTAATTGTTTTCATCTCATACCAAGGTTAACTGATTTATAGGCTCAGATGAAACAGTTAAAAAATGAGAGTTTACGATTTTCTTTTGTCACTCCAAGTAATAGTAAAATTTAAAAACAGCGATCCAGTTGTCCCACCACTGGTCCGTCTATCATTAAAAAAATTCTAGCGTTTAGTTCGATTTTAAAAAAGTTATTGTGTTTGAAAAAGTATCCGAAGTTTAATCAGAGTTACTGTATCTTTACAATATTTCGAGTAGTAAAACGAACTAATTAACTAAAATTTTGCGTAGTCTTTGGAATGCATTTAATACGTTTTGCAGTTTCTGTTTCTGAAGTAAAAAGCGTACAATTTTTTAATCCGGATTCAAATACCATGAACCCCTTTCATGAAAATAATCTTACACGGGTGACTGAATTCCCACATCTTTTTTATCTGTAGACGATTTCAAATTTTTTATTTAAATGTTGTTGAGATCGTAAATAAGAATTTCTCTTCTCTTTCATAAGAAATGATGGAGTAAACCTCTTAATCTAAGTGTACATTATCCTGAAAGTTGTGAAAAATCTAAATAAATGCAATCTTGTCATAGTTATGAAATAACGGTCACGTTTAGTCAAATCAGTTACGTTTAAGACTAGGTAGGTTTAGTATAAATTTGCATAAACGTCTGAAAACTGATTTTTCCTTGACCTCAATTGCTAAAAAATCTTTTCTCTTTTTTTTTCCTTGCATCGATACTTATCTAATACGTATTGCTTCTTAAATGTCCATCACCTTTGAACACGATGAAGTTAAAGATTCAAAGTTATGATAGGAACATAAGCGGAAAGATCAACATTTTAATGATATCTTTTCATATTTTGAATAAAACTAAATAACATATATAATATAATAATATAATAATATAATAATATAATAATATAATAATATAATAATATAATAATATAATAATATAATAATATAATAATATAATAATATAATAACATAATCATATAATGATATAATATTGGGTCATTCGGAAAGTTGTTTCGTTTCTCAAAAAAAACTTCGTTTTGTAAGCTCGTTAAAGAAGCACGTGATTCAGCAAACGATGGGGCTTCTACGAGATAAGATTTTGAAAACACCAGAAAAATGTCGGAAGGTTTTTTTTTTATTTGAAACGTTAAAAATATTGTCTTTCATTTTCTCGAGAAAGAACGAAACAACTTTCCGAACGACCCAATAATATGACTTATAATATAATGACTTTGTGATGATTTTATTGTTAGGTCTAGATGCTGTGAAAGACGAACCGCAACATGAGCTACGGGTACGAAAACTACACCGTGCACATCGTGCAGATCTTCAATGGCACAAACTCGACACCATACGAAGTTGAAATTAGTTGCAACTATTTCAGCGGAATATATAGCATTTTCTTGGTGAGCTGGTTCAAGTGCATCATTTATTTCTTCTATGGTAGCGTCTTCGTGATCGCGATGACGGGCAACGGTCTTGTTTGCTACGTCGTACACAGTAACAAACGAATGCAAACTGTCACAAATTTTTTCATTGTGAATCTCGCAGTCGGGGATATCCTGATGGCTTTCTTCTGTGTGCCACCTAGTTTCTTTAGTCTCTTCGTGCTCCAGTATTGGCCGTTCGGCTCGCAGCTTTGCCCTGTCGTCTATTTCCTGCAGGTACGTACGATTTTTCTGTATTCCATTTACTTACCGAAGAATCATTGTCTTCGTTAAGAAACGGGGCATGTTTAATTTTGTTATACATATAGTCGTGGTTACATATTTACTAAATATAGTAATATAGTAATATAGTAATTTTAATTATTTACTTATTATTATATAAGTATAAATACTTTGTTAGTGTTTTAATCATGCACTCGATAGCAAAATTAAAGCATCAGTAATTTTTGGCCGAAAAGTGGCAAATCTTTGAACAGTTAAAAGCTGTCATAAAATCATGATTTTTCTTAAAATTACAGCTTGAAGTCTCTGCTTTATGATATCATATTATTATTTTTAATATCATGTATCCCAAATCTGAAGGCACGTTCGTGTTACCAAAAAAGTTCAAAGTTTGACGCTCTCTATGGAATTGCAAACATTTCTTTCATAGCGACTTAAATCTGTCCTCAAATTACACTCCTCGTCAAAAAGATAGCCCAGGTGTGTTATCTTCAATTTTTCAATAACGCATATGTACTTTTCCTTTAATGACGAGTAATATCCAAACATTAGGAGCTCGAGATATGCCGTTCGTTGTAAATAAACCACAACATTGCAGGGTTTCAAATACAACAACAAAAAACTGTTTTATTCCGAGAACGATATGATAGCATATGAATACTAACGAAGTAATAATGAAAACGTATTATAACCTGTAATATAGAATGATACGCTTATTTAATAGTGAGTACATCCCCCTTTTTACTTTGATTACCTTCAGTATGGGATTTGTCAGTGATTTATACAGATTTTTTATGTACTTTTTGTGCGCAAACTGTCTCCGACGGATATTATACATTATGTAGGGTATCACAAAAGCAATCTGCGGCTTTGTTTACGAGTTATTAAATAGAAAATTGAATAGAGAATTAAATAGTTTGATGTTCACAATAATTTCGATTATGTGTTAAGAATCTTTTTTCTTGATTTCATTGTAACTTAAAAGGGGGATATTTTTCCATTTTTATTTAATATTATCATTACATTGATAATCTGTTCTATTATTAGACTGCAGATTTTGTATATTTATGGCAAAGAAGAGTAGCTAAATATAATATTGTGAAAACATAAGAACAATTTAATAATATTGTTACACTATTTTCAACTTATCAGAATTATTGAAAGGAATAATTTATTTGTATTTAATTTCTGCTTGTCGAAATTTTTATTTTTCATAAAAATCCGCAATCTATCTGTTACAAATGAAACAATGTCTACATTCATATGAATATATTAAATATAAACAGCAATATGTAAGTTTCATTTTTTGATAACTTAAATTGTCTGCTCCGCACGATTAATTAATCATAATACAAGGGGTCAATACAATAGAAAATTGTTGGACATGAATTGTTCGTGACGTATACAAAAATGGTACGCAATATCGAAACGTACATATGTGAATTAAAAAATGCTGTTGTACGCGAATGAAATGACTTCGCTTAGTAAATACATTCAAAATCCGTGTATGATAAATCGCATACTGAAGGTAATCAGAAACCGAGAGGGATGTAATTACTATTAAATACAATGTTCCACAAAAGTGTTCGTACACCTTCTAATACATAATAACTTTTTTTAAATGTCAACTAAATGACTTCAATTTTTTTTAGATGGTAGAGGGACTAGTTTACTAGACGATGACGTAAATGCCTTTTTTTTTTTAATTTTGCTATTGCTTGGAATGAAAAGAAAATAACAATTCTCGTTTCTCAACATTTTTATCGGAACCTTTAACAAAAACTTAAAAAATGCCTTTCGTAGATTTTAGTAACTTATGTGCGTGTTGAAAATTTGGCGAAAAATTTTTTTTTCAAAATCGATTAACCCAGAGTCGAGCTACAGGCGTTGAAAGATTTAAAAAACTGTAGACTTACTTCCAATTTTTGGTCAAAATCGTGATAAAACTACGATTTTTGCCAACTTCAATTTGTTGTATCTCTCATAACAACATCATTCGATTTTGATAAAATTTTCAGCATGCATATAAGTTACCGAGACCTACGAAAGGCATTTTTTAAATTTCCGTTATAGGCTCAGATAAAATAGTTAAAAAACGAGAATTTTTATTTTTTTTTGTTATTCCAACCAATAGCAAAATTTAAAAAACAGCATTTTAGGTCATCGTGTAGTAGACTAATCCCGCTGTCATCTAAAAGAAATTCAAGTCGCTCAGTCTAGTTTTTAAAAAGTTATTGCATTTTAAAAGCTGTACGAACATTTTCGTGGGCCACTGTAAGTATATTATATTCGGTACATAATATTGCAGGTTACAATATGATTTCATTATTACTTCGTTAGTACATATTCATATGCAATCATTTCGTTCTCGGAATGAAACAGTTTTTTGTTGTTGTATTTGAAACCCGGCAATGTTGTGGCTTATTTACAACGAACCGCATTTACATATCCCGAGCTCCTAATGTGTTTGGATATTACTCGTCATTAACCCTTTCGCTACGGCGGTTCAGTTCGCCGTAGCGCCCCTCCTGAACGGAACCACCCGCCGAAATTGTGCACATTGCGCGTGGATAGTGTATTTGGGAAGAAAAGGGATTTTTCTTTAAAACAATATAGTTATAATTTCTGCATAAGGTATAAAGTTATTTAATAGGTAAAAAAAGTTTCATTAACAATGGAAAAAGTGAAGAAATAATATATAATATACAGTAATAAAATAAAACATAATATTCATAATACACAAAACATAATACATAATAATTAGTCCTAAAGTTAGTACTTTCGATTTTCTATCCCTTTATGACATGTAACACAATAATAATGGGAAATGCAGGTAGAACAAATATAACTTGAATGGTGTGTCGTTTATTTCGGACTGTCGTTTGTTTGTTTCGTCAAAAGATTCACGCAATAGTAACAAGAGGCGGTGCAGTCCAAAAATTAGGTCGCGATTTTACCAGCATGTCGGATATATCCGGCGTTCGTCCCCAGAGGGCGATCATGTGGATGTCGGATATATCCGGCGTTCGGCTCCGCGAGTGTTCATATGGATGACGGATATATCCGTCGTTCGGAGCGAAAGGGTTAAAGGGAATCTACATATGCGTTATTGAGAAATTGAAGATAACACACCTGGGCTATCTTTTTGACGAGGAGTGTAATTTGAGGGCAGATTTAAGTCGCTACGGAAGAAATGTTTTAAACTCCATAGAGAGCGTTAAACTTTGTACTTTTTCGATATCACGAACGTGCCCTCAGATATGGAATAGCACAGTCATGAGAATGCATGATATTAAAAATTACGATACGCTATAATAAAGTTTTAATTAAGAAAAGAATCATGTTTTAATGATAACTTTTAACGGAGTTACAGTTGTTCAGAGATTGACAATTTTTCGTCCAAAAATTGGTGATGCTTTAATTTTGCTGTCGAGTGTATTTCCTTTTTTTCTGCAAACAATCGAAAACCGATTTCTCAGACATCGATTTTTGTACAAATCTTGATAAAAAAATAATAAAAACTACATTGACAGATTCGTTCGGTGTCATACAAAGACCAGTTTTTCGAACAAAATGTAAATTACTCATTAACTTCGGAACCATTTGATCAGTTGCACTGTTCACACTGCACCGAAGAAGGGAAGATACAAACAATCACGGCTACTTGTGTGCAGTTGTTGTTGTTTCATTAATCCTTTTCAGGTGAGCGTTTTAATGTCACCTATATAGGGGCTTAAGTGATCATTTGGACAAGTTTGTTCGTCAAACAAGGGTTCAAACATTTTCAGCCGTTGCTGTACCATTCCCCAACGTTGTGGGTCGAACCATTCAGCTATAAATCGCATAAATCGGTCATGGTCAAAAGATTAATTTGCTTTACTTGCGTGCGAAATCGCGGGGAGGTGTGCTCGAGCGAATCGTTCGTAGAGATTCAATGGAATCTTCTAAAATCAATTTGCAGTTCATGGGCAGTGAAACAGTTGCAGTGGACGCAGGAAACGCAGTTACAGTTTACGTTCGCTTCGTCATCGAGCTTCAATATCCACTCCTCGTTCATCAATACGTGGGAATATTGACCGGAAATCGTTCAGTCGTTAAAATCTTTTATAAACGACTAGTCCGTGCGTGATTGTTCTTTTTTTTTTAATTGGCCGATCCAGTGTTGATGAACGAATGACGATAGTAGAACAAAATTCACGAAGACATGACGTGAACACAGAAATTCCGATTGAAATTGGTTCCGCACATTCGGTATTTCAGTTTAACGATTTTAGTGTATGGTCTTTTGTTTT